GTTCCTGTTAAAAAGCAGGAAGTTCACTTAACCCAGGAAGACATTTATCCACCTCAAAAATGTTATTACACTCATAAAGTTAGAGCTCTATAAAATATTTATCTTTGAGGTTACCTTGGCCGTTAGATATATGGGGGCTGGTAACCTCCCAGACTCTGCATAGGATGAAATAGCTCATTTAAGTTGTCTTAAAGTAACGTAAGACTAGCATAAGAAACACGAGATCTCACAGTTATTTGCGCTAGAGGTTTAGTAAGTCCACGGCCAGAGGAGTTTAAGCTCAGTTTTATCTTTAAGATGTGTTTTTTTTTCTAGCTCTTCTTCTGACGCTAGAAATTATGCCATAAACAATAAATTCAATGCAAAACTGCAGAGCACAATAGGTAAACGTTCGCACCATCAACTACGGTCGGAAGTTAGTAAATGATTTGAAGCAATTTTAGCAATCACTGTAGAATTTGTGAGTGAGCTTTATTGAAAAGCAGTGTAACTCTTAATAAGTTACTTGTTGGGTTCTCAGTCTGAAAGCTGCAACTTTGTATTGAACTGTAAGGAAGAAATGTAAATGTGTGCCCTTCTATATGTGCCAAAGAACTGTTCATAATTCTTTATTGTACAGAGTTGAATTTTTTGTGAAGAAATCATTAATTGGTCTTAATTTTCATAGTTAGTGAAAACACAGTCAAAATACACTTTCCTACGATTGTTGTGCAAATGGTGCACAGTGACATGATGTGTGACAAGCTGTATGACACTTCCCTGTAGAGACGATAAGGGTAACCCAAAGATTGAATCTTGCCTATTTGAGCGGAAGGCAAACCATTAAATGCATTACTCCTCAGACTTTCAAATTACATTTCACGGAGACCTTTCGATCAAGAAGATTTTTCAAGAGATATATATATGTATCTGAAGGTTGAACTAATCAATGAGACCTAGCTTTTCTGTGACTCTAAGTTTCATGCTTACGCGATCATCAGACAGATTTTAATCTTATTGATTAG